CTCGGGCACCTGTTGCAAGGTCGAGAAACAGGGACGTCGAGGCCACCACGGTGCCACTAGCAGCACTGTGGCCTTCTGTGGTCTTATTGACCTGGGGACCTTCGGAATTATGGGAATGGGTGGAAGGCATACAAGGTCCCTCTGGGTCAAGGAACCGTCATGGCATCCGTAGCTTCCGCAGCTTCCACTTTGTCGTGGTGAAACCTGAAGAAAAATCTCAGCAGTTGGTTGTTCTGCAGGGAGGCAAAGAAGGCCACCATTGGGGCCTTGAAGTGTTGTATCATCCAGTGGAAAATCTTCTTGTTCAGCATCCACTCTCCTGGGTCGATTGTTTGTCTGCTGAGCCAATCCACTTCTCTGTGGAGGGCAGAGGATCTGGAGCCCACCTGGTTGTTCAGATAGGATTTGGCCGATACATTGTCTGACTGGACAAGGTCATGTTGGTTCTTTACTCTGTTGCTGAAGTAGAGTAGGGCCAGACACACCGCTATGAGTTCCAGAACGTTGATAGGGAGAAGAGATTCCCTGTGGGACCAGTGTCCCTGAGCTGGAGCCTTGTTCAGAGTTGCTCCCCAGCCCTGCAAACTGGCATCCGAGAATAGTTTCACTTCTGCCTTGCGGAAGAGCTTCTTCTCCTGGTGGAGATTGGAAACCTTTGTCCACCATCTGTCTGACTGTCTGACGGATAGAGGTACTTGGAGAAGAACATCCCGTTTTTCCATAATATGTATCTGGTAGGGGCATAGAAACAGCTGCAGCACCCTTGTGTGTAGTCTGCCCCACTGTATGGCATCTAGAATGGAAATGGGAAGCTCCATCACCTTGGCCAAGGACAGCAGAGACGAAGATGGACATTCTATGATGAGTATCACAGCTTATTTTGTCTTCGAGATCTTGTCCTCTGGTAGCAAGACAGACGCCAGTTTGGTATCTATCAGCATCCCAAGGTGTTCCAATTGTTGAGTCAGCTCCAAGAAGCTCTTGGCCTGGTTGATCAAGAAGCCATGTGCCTAAAGACACTGAATTGACTCTTGTATGTCTTGCACGGCCTTCTGTTTGGAGGAAGACCTGATGAGAAGGATGCCCTTCTTCCTGAGGTGTTCTATTGGATTGACCAGTATCTTGGTGAAGACCCATGGGGCGGTCGCAAGCCCAAAAGGCATTGCTCTGAACTGCATATGGAGGTTCCCTACGCAGAACCTCAGGAACCTCCTGTATAGGGGTAGAATTGGAACGTGGACGTATGCCTCCGTCAGATCCAAGGAGGCTAGGTATTCCATCGATTGTAGGACCTCTGTAATGGACTTGAGAGTCTCCATATGAAAGTGCCTCAGCTTGATGTATTTGTTGACGTACTTCAGGTCTAGAATGGCACGCCAGTCGCCGTTTTTCTTGAGCACAGTAAAAAATATGGAGTAGACTCCCTGGCCCTGTTGGTCTACGGGAACCTTCTCCACCGCCTGAATGTCCAGGAGATGACATAAGGCAGTGAATGTCATGGCCCATTTTGCTAATGTTTCTGGAGGAGACCGAAGAAATTCTAAGGAGTAGCCTTTGGAGACTATTTCTAACGTCCAGGAGTCTGCTCAGGACTCTAGCCATGCCTCCAGAAAGTAAATTAATCTTCCCCCCACTGGGATCTGATCTGAGTCATGCTTTGGTGATTTTGCCATTGTGTTCCTGTTTCTCAGATCTGTTGTGTGCCTGTCTCCCAAACCTTGGTCCTGAGAAGCTTCTCTTGTAGGACTGCGACGAGGACCCTCAGGAGCCTCTTTTCTGGCCTTGCTTGGGCTTGAATAATGGATTAGAGGAACGAAAGGGATGACCATGTGCACCCTTCTGTCTAGGTGGCGAAAGTTTCTTGGCATAGCCTTCTTTTTGTCTTTAGTCTCCACCAGGATCTTATCTAGGTGGTCCCCGAATAACTTCTCTCCTTGTAATGGATAAGCCATCACAAATGACTTAGACTGGAGATCCGCGGGCCAGGCGCACAGCCAGATCCCTCTCCGTGCCACCATAGCTGGGGACATAGCCGTAGAACAAAAAGTAAGAGCATCCAGGAAAGCATATGTTGCAAAGGAGGATGTTTTCAATATTTGTGTGGTCCCTTCTAAGAGACATCTATTATCCCCTGGGAGAAGCTGGATGAGCTTTCTGGCCCATACAATGATAGCTCTGGTGGTGATAGAAGATGTAGCCGAAGCCTTGATTGACATAGCTAAGGCCTCATGTGATCTTTTAAGATCAATATCTATCTTCTTATCCAGGTTGTTGCTCACTGAGCCGTAAGCATCCTCTGAAAGGAGACCAAAGGACTGGAGAACCATTATAGGGGCATCCACCAGGGGAACCTGTAACATCTCATTTGCAAAAGAGGGTAAGTCATATAACCTCTTAACCAACTCAGGGG